TGAAACCACCACTGGCTAAGCTTAGAGAGATGCAACATATTATCAGTGGGTATATTGATGACTTCTATTTGCAGGGTCATACTTATGCTAGGTGTGCTAGTAATATTCTTGATACTGTAGAAACCTTTGACAGGCTAGGTTTAGTTATTCACCCAGAAAAGTCTGTTACCTCCCCATCACAAGAAGTTATTATTCTGGGGTTTGTTATTAACTCTATAACAATGACTATCAGAGTTACAATTGAGAAGAAGGAAAAAATCAAGAAGCTTTTGATTGCCGCTATTGCAAATCCTGTAGATATTTCTATAAGGCAGGTAGCTAAGATTATTGGTTGCCTTGTCTCTTCTCTACCTGGAGTCCAGTATGGGGCTCTGTATTACAGATACCTTGAAATGGATAAAATATCAGCTCTTAAAATAGCAAAAGGAAATTTTGATGCCCCCATGACTATCTCTGAAGATGGTCTTGTAGAGTTAAGATGGTGGGTTACCCATATAGATGAAAGTTTTAATTATCTAATGTCTTTTCCCATTGATATTACCATATACTCTGACGCATCCTTACAGGGATGGGGAGCCGTACTCGGAGATACATCCTCAGGGGGGAGGTGGTCTCCAGAGGAACGTACAAATCACATCAATTATCTTGAACTTCTGGCAGCATTTTTTGCCCTAAGATTGTTTTGCAATACCATTCAGAGAAAGCATGTTAAACTCATGATAGATAATACCACAGCAGTAGCAGTAATTAACAACATGGGAACTTGCCATAGTCGTGCTTGTCACTCGATTGGCTGCCAAATCTGGCAATTTTGTATCAAAAATAACATTTGGCTTACTGCTGCTCATATTCCTGGTTCTGCAAATGTCCTAGCAGACAAAGAATCACGCCATTTTCAAAGTCAGGATAGAGAATGGAAACTTAATCCCTTATTATTACATAATGCACTCAATACTTTAAAATTTCAACCTGAGATAGATCTTTTTGCATCACGCTTGAATAAACAATTTTCAATATTTTGTTCTTATAGACCAGACCCTGAAGCAATGTTTGTTGATGCTTTTTCTATCTCATGGGGTGACTTAAAGTTTCATTGTTTTCCCCCGTTTAGTTGTTTGTTACAGGCCATGAAGAAAATAATCCAGGAGCAGGCCCAGGGAATTTTAGTTGCTCCAGACTGGCCCACCCAACCTTGGTACCCTCTGCTGGCCCTGCTTCATGTTCAACCGCCAGTAATCCTACAATCCAGTCAAAAACTGTTGAGCCTTTGTCACTCTCCGGAAATAACTCACCCCCTGTGCAGAAAACTGAAACTTTTAGTATGTCATGTCTCAGGCAACAACTACAACGCCGTGGCTACTCGCTAAGATCCATTCAAATCATTGAATCCTCATGGAGGGATAGCACAAGATCTCAATACAAAGTGCACCTACAAAAATGGTTGCAATTTTGTATGGCGAGGGACTGTGATATTATATCACCCCCCTTACCACGGGCGTTAGATTTCCTGTCATCCCTGTTCGACTCGGGGTTATCTTATAGTTCAATAAACTCGGCGAGGTGTGCTTTATCTACTATTCTGCAGTTAAGTGATAGTGACGTTACTTTTGGACAGTTACCTATCGTCAAGCGCTTTTAACTATCGATAATATGATCCTCCTTGCTGATAAGTGCACCTTTCACGTTATGGAGAAGGTAAAACAGACACAGGTCGAAACCCATGTCAAGCCCCTAGAGTTTTTGAAGTATTCATTAGAGCCTCAGCTTTGCATTGTTACTCATCTCTTAGAGTATGTCAAGAGAACTGCCGGTCATAGGAACGACATGAAGCAATTGCTACTTAGTTATATAAAACCATATGGACCTGCCTGAAAGGATACCATCTCTCGGTGGATCAAATCTGTTTTGACATCTGTGGGTTTGGATGTTACCAAGTTTAAGAGTCACAGTGTTCGCGCAGCATCTACATCATTTTTAGCGTTCAATAACTGTAACATCAAGGATATCATGTTATCAGCAGGGTGGTCGAATGCACAGACATTTCAACGCTTTTATAATAAGCCGAGGGAAGAAGATGAATTTAATTTTGGCGACTCTGTCTTACAGTGCTATACAGACGCTAGTAGCTCATAGACCTTATACGTTAAAGATACTTAGTTTGTTTAATGTTACACAATTGGTGGTTTTTTCCTTTTTCAATGCTATCAATAAATATCAAAATTTGTGGTTACCAGGGACAAAAATTTTTTCACAACCGTTTTGGGACAAAGCCCTCAATGATCGCTCTAAAATCTCGTACAACCTCACACGACATAGGCTGATGACAAAATAGAATTAAAAATTAAACGAAACTTACCTGGAAGTTGAAGTTTGATTTAGATTCTATGAGTCATCAGCCGGGAGTGTGGGAGTTGTACGCCCTCCCATTACATCTCCCTTAATAATTGGCACACTCCCACACTCATCACTGAGGTCTTTGTCCGGTAGCTCTAAAGACTGGTTGGCGCATGCGCTCCACTCTCTCTTGTAGAACTCCCACTCTCCCGGCTGATGACTCATAGAATCTAAATCAAACTTCAACTTCCAGGTAAGTTTCGTTTAATTTTTAATTAACAAACCAAGTGTATTAATTAGTTGGGAAGTGGGCACTGAAAATGATAGCACACAATTATTACATGGATAAAATTTTACTTGTAGTGTAATTGTCTCATTTCTTATAATTATACATTTTTTAGAACTGAAAGTATTATACCACTGGTAAAAATACTAGAGAAGCTAAAAGATGAATTAGAGAGCAGTGGAGATTGTGGAATATCACTAGTGAATGTTCGCAGAAGCGCAATTTTGGAGGATTCCTGAATTCCTGAGTTATCAGAAGGAAGAAGTTCAACCCACAACCAAGGATATCTATTCGTTTTGCAGATGATGATGGTTTCAGCGAAGGGGCAATAAATGCAGGTGGACCTCGGCTGGAGTATCTTCGTCTGCTAATAAAATCGGTGAATTAACATTTTGGGATCTTTGTTGGACCAGCTCAATGTCGAACACTTCTGCAAAATTGTGTTGGTATGTTCTAGGTTATAGGCAGTTAATTTATTGATTGTTGCCTGCAACATATGATTGGTTTTCCATTGGCATAAACAGGTGTTAGACATCAAAAGTTCAATTTTTCTAATCTTCACACTCTGATTGTATACTATATTATATTTATGAACAAGGCTACTAAAGATACTTCATCATTAACCTAGCCCATGGAGGACCTGCTGGTAACTTCTTCTGCCCATCTCTGTACAATACCATAGCTTTTGGATATACTATGGAACCCCAAATTGCCGACATTCCCGATCCTGCTGTGAGACACACAGTAGAACAAGTAAGTTATTAATATAATTAGTATAACTATATTAGTAAAAAGTTTTTAAAATTGGCCAAGATTGGAATTATAATTACTGGAATAAAGTGGGCCTGCCAGAAAATGCAGGAAGTATTTAGTCCATATGCCCATACAAAATCAAGCTGATATTTTGATTTAGATTAGTGCTTCCTCAACACTTGAAGTTCTGCGTGAAAACTTAAAAGACCCAAATATCCAAGACATTTTGGAAGCACAAGGGCATTCAAACTATGTTAGATGTGTTGAGGAAAAGGATCAATTGTGTAGGATTATCACTAAACATATTCTTGTTGATGGCCCGAGATCATTAATAGAAGAGCTCAAAGATGGCCTTTAGACCCTTGGCATACTGGATAAAATCATGCAATTCCCTGAACAGTTCCGTGAAATGTTTACTAGTGAAAACATTAGACTGTTTGATGCTCAATCGGTAGACCTGCTCTTCAGGGTAAATTATGCGGATCATGGATCAAATAAAAGGGCTTTGCAAGAACATGCGATTGTGTATTGGAGAGACTATCTTCAAGACTGCCAATGTAAGTTTTCTCTAATTTGACTTTTAAAGGGAAATTATCACAAGGATTTATAGGTCAACTCCCTAGTAAACTAACCAGAGAAAACTAGATGTCCTCTTCAAGTAATATTGTAGCTATATAGAAAGTTTTCTTTATTCACCTTATCATGGATATTTTATGTATTTAATTTAATATATTGCTATTTAAATAATGACATTTTTGACATTTTGGTAAAAGTATTTGCAAGACATATTGAATTACAGAGTTCATATAGCTATATGTGAGCCCAAATGAAATTTCTTGGTAACAGTATTCCCTGTATATTAAACTGCAAATAAGGTGAGGTACAAGATTTCGAGTAAGTCATGTAGAGGATACATGATTTTTGACTATAATATTATTGACAATTACCGACTATAGTATTATGCACTTATATAATTTGATCAGTACACCATATGTTTCTTCTAAAGGTGAATATATAACACTGACGGTATTAGATTCAAAAGAATAATGTGTAAAGTCCTTGAAGTTTTACTGTACTTATGATTTATTTCTATAGCTAACGAAGCATCAGCCAAACTAGAAGATGTGCTTGTGTTCATCACTGGAGCCAGTGTGCCTCCGCCAATGGGTTTTGAATCAAATCCGACCATTGACTTCACTGATGGAAATCTACCAACCGCGAATACCTGTTTAACTACCCTGCACTTGCCCACCATTTACACAGAATATGAACAATTTAAGGAGAAAATGGATTTTTCCATTTTAAAGTCCCCAAGTTTTGGTCAAGCATGACAAACAGTTGCCTTTATTTAGAATGTTGCATAGTTTCATAGTTTCATAGTTTTACTTTTAAGAAATTGATGTTTTGCGTCTTTGTTATATTTCAGTTGAAATATAGGGATTCATGAAGACATTAAAAGAAATAAATTCTTGAATAACGTCAAAAAGACAAAACAACTTTCATTGATTCAAGTTGATAACAAAATAGTGTATGTTGCGTTCTCCTGTATACGCATGTGGCTTACAACAGCCATCTTAAAAATGTCTCTGTAATTAAATGGCAGCAGATACCAATGTTCGGTATGCAGTCAAGCTTTCTCGCCAACTGGTTGGAGGATCAAAGCCAAGAGTGTGAAGTACGCAGTTGAAGTAGAGATGGTAATCACTGGTTTCGTTGCCTTCATTAGAGTCAACTGCCTCGGACGAGTTAACTTCATATTCAGATCAACAGGATGAAACGGTTTCTTGTAATCTTTTGACCCAATCTCCTCTGGCAAAAAATATAGCTTATTTGGAATTCCAGCTACAGTCTGGTACCTTGATTTTCGAATATAGTGATTGTTCCAATTACTTTGAACTTGACTCAATTCATTTTCAATAACTTTGTTGAATGAAAACCAAAGGCACTCCATATGCAAATGGTTGCTTGTGTCCAACTCACCACCATCTACCATATCCTTAAAAAAGTTCATCCACCATGAACTCCAGTTTCTTCATAGAAAGGCCCACCATGCCTCAATTCGTTGGTTCGTATGCGACAAGCCGTAACGATGAGCACCCAATCCAGATAACGAATCATTATTGTTTCTTTGAAGGAAACACTGCACCGTTGCCATACTTCCATTTTCCGTGCCTCTGTCTGTTCGCAAAAGTGTTGGACAAGCTTGCAATTCTTTAATAGATTCCAAAAAGAATGAGGCAATAATATGCGGATCGTTGTTGCTTCTGGTAAGTCTGAGCCAGATGAGTCTTCTACTAAATCCGTCAATGCATGCGTGTATCGGAAACCCATATGGTTTAAGCTTGTCATAACCATCAGAGTGCCAACTGTAGTTGGGGCCGGGGTTGGAATACCGTCGTCGTCTAAGGCAATGAGCTTTTCTTTGCTGGGTTCCGACAAGATCAAGCTCAGCCAGAAAAACTTGAACAACAGATCTTGGTACGTTGATGCCATATTTGGAATGCAACTTGTGGCATATCGACCGGTAACCAAGAAGGGAACCAGAACCATCTAGCTCTCTGGTTATGCATTCTCAAACAATTCCTTCATCCACATTACAATCTCTTTTCCGGAGTTGATTATTTTTTTTAGCAATTTAGAAGCGTTCTTTTTGAAATTTTTATGCCATGATATTTTTTGAGAAAGCTCAAAATGGTCTTATAGTCGTAATTTAATGAGAAATAGTGGCGAATTATACTTTCTTCATCCTCAGCATCTGCCATTTTTAAAGTTAAAAAAATGGCGACAAATTCGGTGGAATTTGGTGCCATTTTTTGAAGTCTAGGGTGATGTGTATTGTGTTTTTACGATGTGTATTGTGTTTTCACAATGTGTATTGCGTTTTCACAATGTGTATTGCGTTTTCGCTATGTGTGTTGCATTTTCGCTATGTGTGTTGCGTTTTCGCTATGTGTGTTGCGTTTTCGCTATGTGGGTTGCCTTTTTTGCTATGTTTGTTGTGTTTTTACTATGTGTGTTGCGTTTTCGTTATGTGCGTTGTGTTTTGCACTTATGGGCCAACAGTATAATGTGTATTATGTTTTGTTTCCCTGTGTTGTGTTTTGCACTTATGGGCCACCGTATTTCCATACCAATTTGTTATATTTCTGGGCCAATTTGCATTTTTAACTAAAGCCTATTGTATGTTAATAGAATTGATAAATTTTGTTATTTAAATATATTAATATATTTTTCCTTTGCTAAAACTTACAGGCCTTGCACAATACTGGCTATAAATTGGCACAGGTATGATTGAAACAACATTGTACATCTTTCAGAATTAAGCTATGTTTTTTAGTTTAAAACCTTTTATAACAAGTCTCAGACATGTTCAACTTTATATATGCAGGGAAATATATTGGTGAATGAGGTTGAAGACCTAGATAACATCAGGGCTGAATTAGTTGAAGATAGGCAGGAAGAACAGGAAGGAAGTTTTAGTATAGGCAAGAAGGCAGTTACTAGAGGTAAAAGCAAACCAACAGGGGGTAAAGATAAGTATAGGAGAGAGTTTATAAGGCTAATTCATATAAGCAGGTAGTAGGTAGTGAGCGGGCTGCACATATTAAGGTTGCCAACTGTCCCACCCCTTGCCTTGTTCCCTATGACAGGTTAATGCGGTATATAAAATCCATTGATATTGGTGAGTTGTTTAGTGTTCCTGAAAATTTGTGCAATGGTATGGATGAATGTGAGAAAGTCAATGGATGTTACAGGGATATGAAGATATTCTTGTAAGACTAGCTAATTTGAGTATCAAATTGTCAACTTCGGTGAGCCAAATACATTTCATATTGCTCTGGGTGGAGATGGTGCACCTTTTGGAAGAGATGATTCAGCATGTTCATGGTTCGTAAGTTTTCTTAACATTGGACCAGGCGTATTGAGTAGCAATGAAAATTTTCTTCCTTTTGGAGCTAATTGTTCGGAAAACTGTCTACTGGTAAAACGTTTCTTGGGTAAACTTATGATTCATATTCAAAGAATTGAAAGCAAATCTAACTCTGTTCTAGCTAAAGAAGAAAGCGTTGAAGTCAAGTTCGTGTTTTCCAAACTGCCAAACGATATGAAAATGCTTTGTTTTTTAGCTGGGGAGCTTACTAATAGTGCTACATACTTTTCCACTTTTGCAGATGAAAATTAGTCTATGTCTGTAAAAGGAAGAGGAACCGTGGAAATACTCAGAAAGGATCAAACAGGCGAAAAAAGTTTCCGACTTCAAAAAACAGCTTGAAAGGAGGAATGTCAAAGCCGCCACCAAACGAAAAAGTGTGACGACTTTCATTGCTAAGCAGAAAAGCTGCCAAGAGCTTGTTCCTTTGGTGGCTGAGCTAATTGACAGAGCTCATGCCGAACCGCTTCATTAAAAAAAGAATGCATGTGCCTTAGCTCATTGTTATCTTTAAAATCAAGCGGTTGAAATGTCAAAACCTAACCTACCTTCATCTTTTTCTCATGTTCTACCAGAAACACCATTTTACAAGTTTGTTAATGTTCTAAGATCAAAGTGTAACCTGAATAGGCTGGCGAAACGTATCATACGGTGGTACACGAAAATGCAAAGCTTGATGGAATGACGTTGAACTACAGATTCACAGGTAAGGACTCTCGCATGTTTTTACACAACTTTATGTTTCTCATTGATGTGCTTGAAAATGTTGTTCCTAGAATAACCTCTAATATACTTCACACGTTCATGCTTATCTCTGCCTTTGCTTGTGAAATCCAGTTGCTTTATTTAGTCAGGTAAATATTACTGATGAGCAGGTAAAAGAACTAAAGAAACACTGTGAAAATCTCCATCGTGGTTACTGGCTATATCTGAAAGTGAATCAAACTGTGTGGACTTTAGGTTTTGTTGTTCCTATTCACACAAAAGAAATGAAGGAACGTTTTGGGTTTGGGCTGGGTTTAAACTCATTGGAAGGACGAGAAGCAAAGCATATAGCCTAATTTTGAATGGAAATTATACACATGTCAAAATCAACAGTACACATGTACTGTAATTTCATGAATCCTAACTAGACAATATGTGACATCAAAAGTCGTGCACGCGTTTTCCAGATTTTTAATTCTTGTTGTAAAAAAAAATCGTCATATAGTTGGGTTCCACTGTATAGGAAATAAAAAATATAAGGGTGATGAAGACACTAAATTATTGATTACTTTCATTAATTAAACTAGCGATGGTATAGTAGCGATAATTGGGATGGATTATTTACCTTGTTGCCGTGAACTTATTAGCTTCAATTAAAGAAATCTTAAATCTCTCTTTACACTATGTGTGATATTTGGTAGGGAATGGATAAAAGTTCCAGCCGTGCCATTTTTAAAAGTACTTGGACTACCTAATTAGATAAAAATGGTACTGGTGCCAGATTTATCTGTGCCCTACCAAATATTGTGCGTAGTGTAAACGGGGCTATAATACCGTGCAACTATAGTTGAAGAGTGACAGGGGTATTATATTCCCTAAGGATACTTGAACAGCGTTCTGATTTGTTATTTTGTTTTATTCTGTCGTTTGTTTCGTCATGCCTCGTTCAGTGTTGACATAGTGTTGAATGTTGATGCTGTGTTATGCTGCTCGTTTGTTACACTGTGGTGTTGCGTTTTTCATGTTGTCTGTAACTAACTGATTAATTTCATGTGGATATTATATCTTGTTGTTTAAAGCTGGGTTACATGGAGTCTGTAATGTAAAGAAAGGCATCGTTTACATTTTTAATCACTATGTATCTTAAAAAATCTGGTCCTGTCTGAATATTTATTACCATTTCATTACACTATCTTTTTTAAATGAAAGTTTATGTTCAAAGAAACTTAAAACATGCAAAATTTTGGCTGCTTTCTAATTTAGAACATGTCATTGCCATATGGAACGTTTCTAAATGTGAAGGTTTGTTGACCAATCATGCAAGCTAGCATAAATTATTCATTTTCTACTTTTAAATAAGTTCGTTCAGGATAAAATAATAAGCATAATGTTTGCACAATAAGCAAACGTTATTGTTTAAGAAAGACGGTCTGTGATAATTTCCAGATGATTTTCAATTAAATCTGTGTTCACATGCATGCCTGCCTGGCTTGGCAACCTTCGTCCCACATAATCTGTTTAAAGGCTTACATACCCTGGATGTGATTCGCTATAACGCAATGCAAATTTTTTATTAATTAAATTATTAAAGAACCTTTTGCAAGATATGGGCACCAGAGCAGTCAAAATGTACCGTCAATTGGTATTACCAAGAATATTATAGCATTGTCAAAATTAGCGGCTTATAGTGATAAAAACTGAACTTGTAAAAATCACGTCGCGTTGGCTGGATCTCATCCGGTGTGTGTCGGCCTTTAGCCCCACACAGACAATTAATTTTTTTGTGCTCATCTGTGTGGGTCTTTAAAATTTAAGTGCATAAATCAGTATGATTAAGTATGACAAATGAACTTAATTCAAATCTACCTCATGTTTCCACAGCTGAATGAGTTAACCTATCTTATCTGATTTTTTTTTCAATGTGGAATCTTAGAGGACCATTGCAGCTTAATGATAGACAATGTCATGCAAAAGAGGACTATAAATACATTTTAAATGTATTATAACATAAATACGTTAAAGATGTTTAAAAAAATTTATTGTTTCTTTATCTTAAAATAGTGGCAGAAGAAATTTGATTTTTTTATTTAAATTGATCTTTTATTTAAAATATTTGAGTTGTTTGATTTACTATCTGGCAGCAGTTTGATTTTCTGACTGGAAAAGCAATTGAAAAACTAGTCATTAGAAGGGAAGTTCACATTAACTATATTTGTCTGCTGGTTTGCCTTCAAAATATTAGTGTGTAAATCTATGATTTTGGAGGCAATATCCAGCTATATAAGGATTATTATTTTGGTATAGTTAAAAAGGAATATAGAGCTTTGAGATGGTTCTTAACAGTTGTGAAAACTTGGGAATGAAGTGCATTAAAAAAGCCAACATCAGATTAAATTAACTAAACTAAGCATATTTCATCGAAGTGCACTGAGAACATATCAGATTTTCATAATTTTCGTAATATAATTGCCTAAAATGATCAATCATGTTTGCAATTACATTACCAAATTTGCCTAAAATGATTGAAACAATGCTCTGAATTTTCACAATTGTAAGAACGTGCCTATGTTAAATCGTTTTTCAAAGATTAAAGAAATGTTGGCATGCATGCTGAGGAACTCCATTTACATTCCATTCACCATAATTAAAACAGATGACTAGTTTTCCAGGCCTTTTCTTGTAAATAAAAACAAAGTCTTTCACCTCGATTATAATAACTGCTGCTGTCTGACCCTTTTGATTGCCAGAAAAACATCACTTAAAGTAATTGGCAACTTCATCTATCGACAAGCCAGATAGCAAAACAAACAACTCGTTCACAAGATACATAGATGTAGAACATATGACATGTGCCTTCTTGTTCTGGCCCTGAACAATTCAACACAACGCCGTGAAAACCTTGTAGGGGATATCCCTAGAAGTTTTCCCATAATAAGGGTTCTGAATACACCTTCTACCACCAACCCGTCGCCAAATCTCATTTAAAGTGCCTATATCAACCTCAGGGAAATAACCTACTTAGATAGATTAGATGATTTTAAGAACATTTGCAATATATTTATAATATATTTGCAATATATAAACCAATAGGCCTTTTCAGCTTGTATGCAATTGTGACTTGAAATAGGTTAATTTGCATAATACAAGCTGAAAAGGTCTATTGGTTTATAGCTACTTGGAAAAGAGAAGAATACCTTTGTCAGCATATGCTTATGATTCCATTCCAGACAAAGTTTTGGAGGAAAGATCTTTAAAACCTTCAAACCTTTGTCTTTTGAAATCATAAGCATATACAATATAGATCAATGTAAAGTATTGAGAACTTATCCTAAATAATCATGTTTGAGTTGAAATGGCTAAAGAACATGCATATTAGCCGCTAGTTATTGTTGAATACTTGCCTGTTTTAATCACTTTGCACTGACATTTATACTTCCTTCCATCTATGTTATGAGACAGACTCAACGACCTGGGCGCATTGTTATGCAATGTGGGACTTCTTCAACATCTTGTAAGACAAGTTCTCCACTCAACACTTCAACGCTCCTGTTTTTTTTTTATTTACCAAAAGATCGATCTTGCAATTTTTACATTTGCACCTACAAAAACATATATTTATATTGATTGTGAAACAGTAAGGTGAAATGTCAGTATATGTAGTGCTTTGTATGTAATTATATAGTGCCTTTATATATTTCACTTACCAATCTGACACTGGGATAGTCCGGCCGTTTTGCGAATAAAAGAAGCTGCCTTCTTTTTTTATGTACACATCCCTCTTTTAGTCTTCATTATACTCGACACGGTCAGCAATCGGTTTGTCTTGGTAAGGTTGATATAAACCATCATGTGTAGGCGTACTGTCTCTTGAAGCAACAGTATCGCATCGTCTTCAACTTCCAATATTGGCAATACATAATCTGGGATGAATTAAATATCCAAATCAAGTTTGCTGTCTAAGTTGTCGGAAATACTTGACGACGTCATTTTAGCGAAAAACGAACCAAAAAGTTTGTATACTACAAGATTAAGTACTTTATTTTAAAGCGTGTTTCTTGTTTACAAAATTAGCGTGTTCTCCAATGTACGTCACTTCTGGTGAAAAAGGGCAACTACAATCATTGACAAAAAATATTGGGACATGGCATGTAAACATCCCTTTTTTTTACGAAAGTCTCGAAATTAGCATTATTCACCTCATTCCCTCCCCCGCCCCACACCCCAAATTAATGTTGACGTAAGTGAGGTAAAATCACTTAAAAAAAATTTTCACTGCAAAACAATACAACATTGTTCTGGGGGCGTTGGGGGATTCGTTTTGCCAAAATGATTAATCGTTTCAATGAGATTGTCAATGATTGTCTGGAATTTAATTTACCTATTTATGTCACAATACCTTCCACATTCAACGTTTTAACAACATTTTACTTGAAGTATGACCGGTATTCGACGGGTCATTTGCATAGGTTTTACTTAGCATCTGCTTTCGAACAAAGTATTCAACGGTTTAGATGAAATCAACATGCAATCTCTACAGCAGTATGAAAGAAAGTTCTTCTTCAGACAGCGACTTTTATAAGGACGAGCTAAGCAATAGGCAAGTTAGACAAGTATATTTAGTTACATACAGCCAGGCTGATACCAGCAAGTTCCCTACAAGAAAATCGTTCGCCGAGGCTGTTGTTTCATCGTTTTCTCGAGGCCCGACTACACCGGTCGTTCAATGGTGTTGTTCACAAGAGAAGCATAGGCGCTCTGGTGTCCACTACCACATAGCTATCAAGCTAAACAAGAACCAATGTTGGTTACCAGCTAAGAAATTCCTACAAGATAAACACGGGATATCCATGCACTTCTCAAATGTACACAAAAATTATTA